CAGTTCTTGACAAACTTAATTCTATTCTGTGGAAAAGTAGAAGCACTGGTGTTCGATTTCTAAACGTGTCATCTGCCCTATATTTTCCTTTTTTCTCCTAGAAGATATTCAGAGGGATAAAATCTTTTACCAAAAGAATGTGTTTATTTTTAGATCATTTTCCAAACATACACAGTGCCACAGATCAACTTCTGTTTATTGATTTGTTGTGTCAATAATTCCATTAACTGTGCTTCATATAATTCAGAATATGCACTACTGCCCAAACATATGGTGTGGCACCAACAGCAGGGGACAAGAAGGAATGAGCGTGAAGAAACTAAAGTTCAGGCAGCGCCTCCCTCCTGTGCTATTAAGTTACTTAGTTCCAGCACACGGTGTTGAAGGAAACTACGTAGTGTTTAAACTGTTCTGACAAATTCTAAGACTTGCTCCTTTAAATAATAAGTGCAGTGAAAACTTAAAGGAGGAAAATGAAATGTAAGTGGAATCCACCACAAACTCCATTCTGTCAATTGTAAAGGATGTTTTTACGATGAGTAAGATATTTTTTCCACATTAAGACATACTGGCTTTCACATATGGTAAACTTCAAATTTGTATCAGATCCGTCATTGCTTCTGACAGTTGCTTGTTTCGTATGCTGTCCAAGAGGCTGAGCTGCTTTAATGGAGGATCAGCTCTTCTGTTTTCCCTGTATCCTAGGTAAATATTCAATGCATTCGTGTCCTCTTCTCAAGTTCAACCCTCTGCCTAAGCAGGCACCAAGTCACTGATAAATTGTTATGAAACCTTGACTGCCTAGTCATTTCTCAAACTCCTTTCACCAACCATAAAATTGATATATCTGATGGTCTCTCACAGCTTTCTATTATGTAATTAAGATTTAGATTGCCTGGTAAGCTCTTCCTATTGGTGCCTGACACTGATGATTTTTTTTTTTTCTTTTCAGTCATTAGCAGGAATTCATAAAGTGCATCTGATTCTTGGAATTTATTCCACTTTTCAACTAGTGCCCAAGTATTGTGACATTTATGGCACAATGTAAAACATCACATTGGGTGGTACATTCATTTATCTCAGTTTCTTCATTGAATAGAAATGTTACTTAAAAATACGGCAAAATTGAAAAATAATGGTTTCTTTAGTATGTGAACTGGAAACACGTGTACCAATTCTTGGTATTAAATTTGCAAATAGTCATGGATTTCTCTTCAGGGGAACAATATGCAATTGTATTGGCTTATGGGCTGAATTTGACCATGTGGAATCAAATGCAAGAGATACTTGGGCTTTCTTTTTTTTTTTTTCATATATGTAACTTTATTTTTATATACATGTGAAAAATAAATATATTTAATATATAAAAATATATGTAGTATATATTATGTAATCATAATATTAAAATTATATCAGTAATAAATATAATATATTTGTACATATGGACATACACAGGTCTTTTCAACAAGGAAAGATATGACTAGCCAAAAAACTAAGCCTGATCCATCACAAACTGTTGTAAATGATAAAGGCTAAGTAAAAAAAAAAAAAGTCAAATTGCTTCGTTAAATTTTATCGGTTGTATCTGAGACCAATCTTTTAACTGACATACATGCACTGTTTTCAAATAGCAATTTTTTTTCCGTGTCACTCAATTAAATGTAATAGAGCCATAGTCAAAAAACCGTGCAAGAGTGTGGGAAAAGGTACATTGAGAAAAGGAGTCTTCCGAAAGGAGTCTCACTCAGCCTTGTGCCATAAGGCCAATTGTGTCCAGGTAGGAGAAATCATTGTATGCACACCTCCTTTTCCCTAAGTGGAGGGAAGAGTTCTTCCCAGTTACTTGACCAGTGTGGGTTCCTCCATACTGTAGGGGAGCAGCAGGCCTTGAATTGCTGCTGCCAGTGCAGTTCGTCGTGCCCAAGCTGCCTGGTGGCATCCTTCTCATGTTAACTGTCTGTCCTTAGTACTTCTCAGGTGTGAGCAGGCTGCTATCCCAGTTAAATGTGCTCGCACAGTGGATGATTACCATGTGCTCAGTAAATCAGCACTGCTGTGAAATGCAGACATGGCGCACACACACAGACTGATGAGATTTTTCTTAAACTGTCGGTCTGGTCGTGCGCTGTGCCAGGTGGGTAGAAGGCTTGTAATGGACAACTTTCTTGTGCCAGTAGAAGAAGGTGGGGGGCCTGCCAACCCCAAGAAATTGGGCAATTTTATTCAAAATGTGGTCTGAGAGAGAAGAGGAAATACCAAGGGAGACTATTTGGGACTTTTAGGTCTTCAGGTGACTCACTGTTTCCAGTTTGTTTATATGTACTATTTTCGTCGGCCACTTGACTATCATTCATATGGGTTGGTGTTTCCAGTCTCAGTTGTGGACTGCAAGAAAATGTTTGGTGTGTGTTATATTGAGAGAAGAGTCAAGGCCCTATACTGTAGCTGGGGGAGGAGGTTACAATCAACAGGTCCCTTTTTATATGGGGTAGAATGGGGCATGTTCTGCTGATCTGCTGTGGATATCTTTGTGGTAGACTCGGTCTATGAACCACTGCTGTGGAGGGTGAGAAGCCAGGAGATCCTTGAAGGCTAAGTGTGTGCCGTAATGTAAAAGAGAAAAATACTTCTTTGTGTCTATTAAGGAAACCAGAAGAGGAAAATGCCATTGGATCACCACTCCTGGGCAGCCATCTCTCATATCCATATGTAACCTTACAAAAATATTGAGCATACTTCCCCTTTTTTTATCTTCCATAATGCAAAATCTTGATTATTTTTTTAATTTATATTTTCCCCTCTTGAAATTGGGCCCTTGATTGCAGACTTTCCCATATGCAGCATGAAAGTTTAGTAGGTCTTGAGCTATGCACCTGCAGCCTTGTCTACCCTGTTCTCAAGGGAAATCAGCTTCAATATTTATTTATTTATTTGTTAAGAAAGCAAGTAGCAAGAACCTAACCCAAGCATGGTTTACATACATGATAGTCAGTTTGCTTTGATATGGAGCCTTCACAAGTACAGTCTGGTGCTTGTACCTTCCTGGCTACTGAGTTGCCTTCTCTGGATCAGCACTCTTAATTTGCATTCCGGATTATTACTGTATTGGGGGGCATCTCAAAAAAAGAGGTGAAATTATGAAATGTTATTTCCTCAAAGGATGAGCATTCAGGCAGCAGGCAGTTCGCATTGTTTCAGCATAGTGAATGGGTGGTTATTCACTGATCTCCTACAAATCACACTTTTCTTTTAAGAAGCCATCCTCTTAAGGAGTGAATTCAATAGTGAACCTATAAGAATCAGTGTACTGTTTATACTGTGGATGCAATATTATGTTTGGACATTTTGTGGCTCCTTTAATTATGTTGCATCTCTATATTTTAGTTTTGAATATTCCCCACCCCTACCCCCTTCAAATTCTTCTCCCTTTTTTATTGGATAAAGTCGTAAATAACTATGACTTTCCAGTGAAGAGCTTTGTAATTTTGGAAAGTGTGGTTTTTTTCCATCCAAAATCATGTTCATGTGTGTGCATTACCCATTTAAGGAAGTCAGGAAAATAAAATTTTGCCATAATAAGCTGCTATGGTAATCACATTTGTAAATGCTTCCACTCGACCCTCTCCCTACTCTCTTTCCTTTCCCTTCTTTTCTCTTTCACCTCCCAAAAAAGTGTTTATTTCATTAGAAGTATCTGCTTTGTTCCTCGGGATACGTATGATATTACTTGAAGTCAAGGGGTAGGAACATGAGCACAGAATGCTGTTAAAACCAGCAGTGAAGCAAGGCTGCTAGGGCCAAATACAGAATCCGAGACCAGCCCACGTAGCCCCTTGTCCATTTCTTCCCCCCACGTCCTTCTCATCTGCCCTGCCTTGCATTTTTTGGAGTTGGAAGAGATCTTATCCCGTAGCTTCTTCTGTGCCTTCCATATCCTCCTCCTCTCCTCTCCACCTTTCTTTTGGGCATATGTGTAACAACTTGCTTGTCTGTGCTTTCCTGTAGCAGCTAGAGTCACCGTTTTGGTGATGCTCTAGTTTCAAACTTTACATTGCATATGCATGTTTTGTTGTTATTTCTGTATGTTGCCATTTTTGCCCTGAAGAACATAATTAAAAGAAGTGAAATTTCAATTTTCCATAGTTTATAACTCACCAGTAACTGAAAGTGACTTCATAGAAAAAGGACACCTCTCTCTATCAGGCTTTCATTTTTGTGCTTGGTTTCAAAGAACTGCACCAAATAGTTGTGGCGTTAGAGCTTCTTCACAGCAAACATTAAAGGATTCTTGAATAATACAGTATGCAGAAGCTGCTACTGCTGCTTCTGTGAAGTTACAGTGAAGAGTTATGACTCTTGCCTGGTTTTGTGTATTTTTAGGCAATGTTAATCTGAAATAAACTAGAAAGGAGACATCAACAAAAATAGAGAAAGCATAGTTTATACAGACAATGTGCTTATTTGGAGGACTCTCAGGACAGTTTACACTGCTGAGGCATCTGTGAGAAAATGGTAGGATAATTTTGAGCACACTGAACACCTCATCCAGACTTCACCATAGTCCCGTGCAGTTGTTTGCATATGCATTTAAATTTCAGAATTTTGAATTCCTATTACTAGCAAGCATAAATGAATACAGCAGATAGATACAATTTCACTGGTCAAATCTATAAAAATAAATTTGCCATCATTCCCCTAATTTTCTTCTGAACAGATCTTGTTTGAAATAATTAAGATCATGTTTTTCTGAAATACTGTTACTGCATGTTAATAATGTTTTGTATATGTCTTTTCCTGTTTCTTCTATAAATGATCTCTGGAGAAAGCTTAGCTAATCTCCAGTTATACTTTGATGGCATAATATTAAATTGCTGCTGCAAAGCACGATTCTGTATGTCTTCAGTTTTCTAAGGTAAACTTCTTTTCTGTTTGTGAAGTCCTGCACAGCAAATGAAACCATTTCAAGTTTTAATTCAAGTGTTTCATATTGTTCTAGGTTGTTGGAAGAGGAGCCTTTGGTGTGGTCTGCAAGGCAAAATGGCGAGCAAAAGATGTAGCCATTAAACAAATAGAAAGTGAATCTGAAAGGAAAGCCTTCATTGTAGAGGTACAGTAAGTTTGCTGGAAAACATGGTGTTTGGTAGAGCTTGTTTTCTTAAATGCATGGGTGTATTTAGCATACTAAAAGCTATGTCTGCATTACAAGGTAAATGCAGCCTGTGGTACCCAGTACAGGCCTGAACCCCTTGTCATGCAGAACAGGACAGCTGTCAGAGCACATTGCAGCTCCTTTAGTTCGCTTCCCATAAAAACTGGAAGGCAAGGACAGGGAGAGGAGGGCACACAGGTCGGGGAAACACCAGTTCCTGGATTCTGTCCCAGTGTGAAGTCAGGGGGCAGCTGAAATACCCGCCAAAATCCTGGAGCTGATTAACGCTTCCAGGGGCTACAGGTTCTTAATTCAATCAGGTCCATACTTGAAACTGTTCCTTAGTTTTTTCAGCAATTCTAATCATATCGTTATTTTTTCTAACATATAAGCCTATTAATACATGTAACTAATTTAAGGGCAAT